AAACCCCCATCCTGGGGGACATCCATCCATTCATCCACCCCTCTCCCTTCCCTTGCAGACAGCAGCCTGCTGGAGAGCTACACCGAGGGCGAGATCCGCCAGCTCGTCTCGGCGCTGGTGGAGCGCTACAGCCAGGCCATGAACTCGGGGGGCCACGAGCTGCCGCTCTTCCCGCGGACCGGCAGCCGCCGCAAGCGCGCCCGCGCCCGCCACAAACCCTGCGAGCTGCGGGAGCTGGAGGTGAGCGTCAGCGAGCTGGGCCTGGGCTATGAGTCGGACGAGACGGTGCTTTTCCGCTACTGCAGCGGCACCTGCGAGGCCGCCGTGCGCAGCTACGACCTGTCGCTGAAGAGCATGAGGAGCCGCCGCAGGATCCGCCGGGAGAAGGTGAGGGCCAGGCCCTGCTGTCGCCCGCTGGCCTACGACGACGACGTGTCCTTCCTGGACGCCTACAACCGCTACTACACCGTCAACGAGCTCTCGGCCAAGGCCTGCGGCTGCGTGTGACGCGCTGGGGATGTCCCCACACGAGGAGAGAGGGAGGGAAGAGGTGACGCCCCAGCACCTGAACCTCACCAGGCCGACCGGGATGGAGCCAGGAGTGGCTGGAGGAGGAGGGACTGAGCCGCTGGCGTATCCCAAGGACTTAGAGACACGGCAGAGGTTGTCAGAGTGGAGACGGCTGCCTGGGGCTGTTGTCCCCCCCTTGGAGGTGGCCCAGGGGTCCTTGTGAGCCCCTCCAGGGGTGGCCCAGGGGTCCCTGTCGCCCCCCTCCCAGAGGTGACAGCGGGTGTGTGGCGTGCACGGGACACGTCCTGCGCTCAGGGTTACGTGTCACCCGTGTCACACCCGCCGGTCGTGTCACCTGCCCGAGGGTGGGGGGGTCACAAGGTGGGTGTCCCCTGCATGGGGTGGTCCCCATGTGCCAGGGGTTCCGTGTCGGGTGCGTGGCACACAGTGCTGTGATGGTGAGCAGGGGTTGGTGTGGGGGTGTTGCTGCACGTGGAGCAGTGCCAGTGGTGTGTGGGGCTGGATGGGGTGTGCTGCACACACAGCGAGTGTTTTGGGGTGTGCAGCACAGACAGCGAGTGTGCTGAACACACAGGGTGTTTTTTAGGGGTTGCATCACTCACAGTGAGTGTTTTGGGGTGTGCTGAACACACGCTGTGTGTTTTGCGATGTGCTGAACACACAGTGTCTGTTTTAGGGGGTGCAGCACACACAGCAAGTATTTTGGGGTGTCCAGCACACACAGAGAGTGTTTTGGGGTGTGCTGAACACACAGGGTGCGTTATAGGATGTGCTGTTAGAGGGTGTGTGTTTTGGGGGGTGCTGCACACACAGTGAGTGTTTTGGGGTGTGCTGCACACACAGTGACTGTTTTGGGGTGTGCTGCACACACACAGTGAGTGTTTTGGGGTGTGCTGCATGCACACAGTGAGTGGTTTGGGGTGTGCTGCATGCACACAGTGAGTGTTTTGGGGTGCATTCCAGGTGTGTCACACAGCTGCAGGTGCCCTGTGCCACCCCGGCTCAGGGGCTGAGCCCTGCACTTTGCATCTGGGGTGGGTCCCCAGAGTTCTGTGACCTCCCTTCTCTGCCAGGGGCAATTCAACCCCCAAATCCCCCTGTTTGGGGGCACAAAAGCACGGGCAGTGGTTTGTGAGAGGCTCTGGCTCCGCTCCCCGCTCGTGCCCCTTTTGCCATCGTCTCATTCCCGCAGCCCCGAGGCTTTGCTTCTTAAAACTCGGGATAATCTGAATAACTGGATTAACCTCCCGTGCCCCCGCCACGGGCAGCTGGGCCAGAGCCCAGGGAGGTGACACGACCTCGCCGGGGCCACCAGCAGAGTGGTGGCACTTCCCAGCGTGGGCAGGATAGTTCCTGGTTTGGCGTCTCCCAAAAATCCACTCTCAGCTCTTCCCGGGAGCATCCCCCCAGCACCTGGAATGGTGCAGGAGAAGGGATTGGGGCCTGGCTCTGGCTCCCCTCGCATTTACAGCAGTGTCACTGCTGTTTACTCTGCGGGGAGATAAACGAGCCCGCAGACTTTCCCGTTCCCTGGGCAGGCTCGATTTGTTGCCTGGGATTGATGGGGTTTTTTTCTCCCCTTGGCTCCCTTCCCAGAAAAAGCAAATCATAAACAGAAGGAGAATATTGGTGTCATGTCCTGGGCATTAACCAACGCCAGGGAAAACGCTCCGTGTGCAGCCCCCCCGGAGTCACGGAGTCATCCCAGCTCCAGAGAAACAGGGGGAAAAATTCCATGTACCTTCATCCCCAGGTGGAAGAGGGCTTTGTGTCGGTGATCCCGGCAGCCCAGGGATGGTGCTGCAGGATTTGGGGAAGCAGGGGAAGCATCCCAAGGATGGGATGAGATGGGAGACCTGTGTGTGACCTGCCACATTCCCAACCTCCACAAAGGGGCAGGATTTAGGGGATCAGGTTGGCATCCCCTGGGATGGGATGAGATGGGATGAGATGGGATGGGATGGGATGGGAAGAAGCATCTCTTGCGTGTGAGCGGCCGCATTCCCGACCTCCACAACGAGCCAGGCTGGTGGGTCTTTTTTTTCTTTCCTTGCTTTTCATCCCAATGTGGCTCTTGGCTGAGCGGAGCCAGGATGCAGTGAAGGAATATAAACACCATCCTTCAGCGGGGCTGGCAGCCTGCACTCTGCAACACCGAGTTTTCCCTGCACTTTGGGAAAAGGAGGAGGCAGCCGAGGGGTGAACCTGCATCCCGGGAATGGGAACGTGGCTGGAAAAGGAGATAAACCCCACACTGCAGGGTGTGTTTGTACCCCTGGGTTTGGCTGGAAAAGGAAAAAGTGGCACAAAACAATCAGCTGGAGGATGGGAACAGCAGCAGGGCAGCGGGAGCAGCTCCAGGTTTGCAGAGGATCAGCAGCTCAGTCCGGACTTTGAGGAAAAAAAGCACCCAAATCTAATAATAACAATAATAATAATAATAACGGGCCTCTCAAGGGCTTGGGTGCTTTCCAGGTCTCGCTGCCATAAAACTAAAATTAGTTTTGTTGCAGAAGCCTGCAGTAAAAAAAAAAAAAAAAACAGCAAAAAAAGAAAGGGAACAGGAGCAATAAAGGCAGGGAAGGTGTTGTGGAAGCAGAGCAGGACCTGGCACCTCGGAGGAGGATTTGGAGCAGGAGCTGCCTCTGCTCGCAGGACCCTGTGCCCAAGGGAGTGCTGGAGTGTTTGCACCCTGGTTTGGGACATTTTGGGGCAGATTTTAGGGATTTAGGGAGCCTTGCTTGGCAGGCACCCGGCCAAGGGCCCCTCCTCTTGCCAGGATGGTGGTGGGAGCAGCAGGAAGATGAGGGGACACGGGAGCAGGTGGAGAAGGCTCAGGGTGGGACATCTCCCAGCTGTCAACCCCCCCCCCAGGTGCCCCATTCCCAGTAGAAATCCAGCTTGGAACCCCCAAAAGTTGGGAAGAAAACCTGACTCAATTCAACAGTGTGTTAAACCAACAGGAATCGCTCCAATCCATCATTTTTTGCTGGATTTTCCCCTGCTGGCACCAGAGGGGACGTCCCCCCCTCTGCCACACGCTGCTCCTGATGCTCTTTTTTTGGGAGCACAAAAAAAAGTCCCTGATGGGGTCTTGGGGTGAGCTGGGGCACCTTGGTGTGGCCAAAAGGATGGATTCTGCTTCCGTGCCTTCCTCGGGGCTCCTCCGGCTCCGCCGGTGCCATCCCACGTCACTGCTCGGCCCTGGAAATGTGGTTCCAATAGGTTTTTCCCTAATGCTTTCCATTTCTCCAGCCCTCTCTGCTGTAATAGGAGCTGGAGCTGTCCAGAAGAATTTCTACAATGCAGAAAGGGGGAAAAAAAAAAAAAAAAAGGAAAATTCCCTCCTCAAAGCTGCAGCAGGATCTCATCCGGCTCCTTCCTCCTCCTCCCACATGTTTGTTCATATTAATATTAATATTAATAATAATAACAACCCGTGTGCAACATCTGTCAGGGAGGATTTGGGGGTTGGCTTTTGCCTCTCTGGAGCTGCAGCTTTGCCGTTCCCAGCCCGGGAGAGGAGGGGTTGGGAAAGGGGGAGGTTTGGAAACACGAGGAGATGTTTAAAATCGTGTGAGAGAGGCGAGGATGAGTGTGGGGTTCTCCCAGCTCCAGGATCCCGCTGGGGAGGAGTTGTTTTCCCAGTTTATCCAGGAGAATTGTGTTTTGGTGGTGTTTAAAGCTGTGGTTTTCTTCCCGTTGGAAAGAGGGAATGGGGTTGGGAAGAGGGAATGGGGTTGGGAAGAGGGGATGGGGCTGCCACGTGTTTCCCTCCTGGGCTCGGAGGGGAGGGGGGAGAAAAAGAAAAGGGGGGGAAAGGGAAATAAAAGGAAAAGAAGGATTAAAAGGGGGGAAGAGGAAAGGGAAAAAGGAAATAAAGTGAAAAGAAGGAAAGGGGGGAAGAAAAAAGGGTGAAAAGGGAAAAGGAAGAGGGAAAAGGGAAAAGGAAGAGGGAAAATAGGAAATTAAAGGAAGGAAAGAGGGAAAGAAAAATGGGGTAAAGGGGGAAAGGGAAAAAGGAAAGAAGGGAAAAAGAGGGGGGGGAAGAGGGAAAAGGGAAAAAAGGAAATGGAATGAAAAGAAGAAAAAGGGAGAAGAAAAATAGGGAAAAGGAAAAAGAAAAAAAAAGAAAAAAGGGGAAATGCAAAAAATGAAAAGGAAAAATGGCAGGAAAGGTAAAAAGGGGGAAAAGAGAAAAAAGGGAAAAGGGGGGGGAGAAAAAAGGGGAGAGAGGAAAAAGAGGAAAATAAAAAAGGGTTAAGAAAAAGGGAAAATGAAAAAAGGGGGGAAGGGAGAAAGGAGGAAAGGAAAAAGGGGGAAGGAAAAAGGAAAAAAGGGTTAAGAGAAAAAAGGAAATGAAAAGAAGGGGGAAAGGAGGAAGAAGGAAAAAGGGGGAAATGCAAAAAAGGGGAAAAGGATGAAAGGGAAAAAAAGAAAAAAGGGGAAAATAAAAAAGGGAGAGAAAGAAAAAGGGGGAAATGCAAAAAAGGGAAAAAGGATGAAAGGGAAAAAAAGAAAAAAGGGGGAAAGATAATAAAGAGTGAGAAAGAAAAAGGGAGAAAGGAAAAGGGGGGAAAGGAAAAAGGGGGGAAAGGAAAAGGGGGAGAAAGAAAAAAGGGAGAGAAAGAAAAAGAGAGAAAGAAAAGGGGGGAAAGGAAAAAGGGGGAGAAAGGAAAAAAAAGGTAAAGAGAAAAAAGGAAAGAAGGGAAAAGAGGGGAAGAAGAAAAAAGGGGAAAATGAAAAAAAAAAGGATAAAAGGGAAAAAAGAAAAAGAAGGAAAAGGGGGGAAAAAGAAGGAATAAAAAGGTAGAAAGTGGGGAAAGACAAGCAGGGGCCTTGTTCCCGTGCTGGGAGCAGAACTCCCTCAGCCCGGCCCGGATTATCCCGTTTTCCTGCCGGAATTGTCGGGCCCCGGGCCCGGCTGCAGAAGTGGATGCAATGCATCTGTATTTTGGATACTCTATTTATTGGAAGTAACTTATGTTATTTATTTGGGCCCCTCCCGCGCCCTTTTGTACGTTATTTATTGACCCCGCGGGGCCGAGGGCAGGGGACTTTTGTTGCGTTTGTACCATTTATTCCGAATTTTGGGGGGTGGGGGGAGGGAAATAATAAATAATAATAATAATAAAAAAAAGCTGTTTGATATTATTTTTGTTAAACAAAGCCGAACTCGGGTGTGAGCTGTTCCAAGTGGAAATAAAAGGAGGATTCTGTGGATTTCTCGCTGGGAATTGTCGTTCGTGGGGGTTGAGGGAGGTTCAGCCCCGCCTCCCTCTCCTGGGATGGGGATGGGCAAGGAAAAGGGGAATTTGGGGAATCTGGGGAATTTTGGGGAAAGGAGCTTCCAGTTGGGTTGGGTCAAAGGTGAGACAATTCCGGGAAAATTATGTGGAAGGGAAAGGGGAAGGGGAAGAAAGAAAAATAAAAAGTGAAAGGAAAAGAAGAGGAGAAAAAAGAAAAAGAAAAAAGAAAAAGAAAAAGAAAAAGAAAAAGAAAAAGAAAAAGAAAAAGAAAAAG